CCTCTTATTATTATGAAACATCTGTGTACCAGTAAGTTCAAGAGTATACCACTAGGGCACCTACAGGGTTTCAGAGGGGTCTTTCTCGACCAGAATTCCTCACAGGCATGCTTTTATGCTTGCTGCACAGGCATTGAGAAGAGTTAAAGTTACTCTCCATAAACTGCTGGCATGCTGGCCTACATAAAGGAACCATCACTGTCTCTCTTATTTTTGGTATCTAGCAACCATGGGGCAGATGCTAAACTAGTGTAAGAGATATCATAACTCTGTTGACATAAATGGACGACAAGTATTCAGAGCAACTGAGAAACCTCTCTCAACTTCCTGGTAACAAGCAAAACTACACTTCCGCATCAGAAAATGCTTCTGAACCTCAAATTCCACATGCACCCAAGGGCTGGCCACAATCTGACACACAGTTTTATGTTTCAATGGCAGTCATGCAGTAAATGTGGAATACTGGTGCATGCATCTGCCAGATAGATCTATTAGGATTTTCACCCTGAAATCTTTGCTGATATTGTGAATTCTAAGAGTGATTAAAACATGTTCTGTATAAGTGCAATCAAATAAATTTATGAAGCTCACAGGGAGAATGAAACTGAGAAGTTTGCATCTGCAAGAATTGAGGAAGTAAATTTCATGATTTGCATGTTTTATCTGCACAAATAATAGCAGCTTAGCTTCTATAAATGAGATACATCACCTTGATAAGTTTTACAAACTGGGTATAAATTAGCGGTTACTAGTAAAATAAAATTCAACCTTACTTCTTCCAGAGGAGTAGGAGGTAATAACTAATATGAAATCAGAAATGGCTACATTGCAACGTGCCTTGAAAACCCAGGTAGGGTGCCACACTAAACAGGTCCAGTACTGTAATGCACAATGCTTCTTGAGCTTTGGCAAAGCTAACCTACTTTTCTTTAAAGAATACTTAACAGGAAGAAGTGGTCTACCAGCCATGTCATATGACCTAAAATGTTTCTGCATAAACCAGGAAACAATACCAAACAGGAAACACTAACTTCTTAAGCAAAATTACTAACTAGTGCTTCTGCTAGTCTCAGCTGAGTTGATGGAAGTTAATTTAGAAGGCTATAAACAAAGAGGAAGGATAAATGACAAGTGGGGTGAAGGGATCTGACAGAGTACTCCAAGGAAGTCTGAAGACCAGTTGTATTTAAGCCTATCTAGTCATCTGGAAAAATAGTTACAAAAGCAGCATGTTAATTAAATGCAGAATATTAACTCTTAACAAGAGTAATCTGAAATATACTCAGTGGAATGGAGGCATAATATTTGGAAAGCAGAAATGCCAAAACTATACATAGGAGCAAGAACTGATGGCAGATTGAGTAGGAGTTCATGGTAAAATGTAGTGGCAGAAATGGCAAGACAAATTTCTGGGTTGTAGTGCTGGGAGGTAAGTCTCTCTGTGGGAGGTACTGAGCCAAATATCTAATATAATAAAAGCCTTAGTCTGTCTGTCCATAATGCTTTACTTGCACTCTGATTGGCTGTCTCGGCCGCCAATCACAATGCTGACTGAAACAACCAGTCAGAGTGCTCCAAGAGCGTTCTGGACAGGAGGTGGCAGCGGCACAGGGTGCTGGCCAAGGGGCAGAGGGGCAAGCTCCCCCACCTCCCCTGCTCCTGGGAGGTGGCGGTGGACGGTGGCGCTCCATCCTTCCCACCATCATTCCTGACAGGCAATTGGCTAGTAACAAAATAATATCCTAAAAACAGGGTTAAGGAAAGATCAAAGGAATATACCTGATCCTCCAGTACACATAACTCTTCTTGGGTTACGTGTGTTTGTCTTATGAGTAAATGTAAGAAAAGGCCAGAGCATGAATGGCGCATACCCCAGCAGCTGCAGGAGGGCATGGCTGTGCCAGTGGCTGTGGGAGCATGGTGGTGGTGGTGGGAGCACAGCGGTGGCGAGCTCCTGCAGATGCTGCTGGCATTGTCGGCAGCGGGGGCGAGGTGGCAAGCACCAACCACGGGTTGGCGATCACCCGCAAACACCCGCAGCCAGGGGCGATCAGGGACCATCCGCAGATGCTACTGGTGTCTTTTTCCAGTGGGTGCACCACCACGCGCACCCCCTATGCATTGCCCCTGGGTCAGAGGAATAGGTCCATAAGAAGTAAATGTGGGCCCTTCGGATAATAGCTAATGGGATTTTAATAATCTACAGGCATTCAAAGTGCATAAAATAAAGAGAGAAGAGAAATGGTATGGGTAATCCAAAGGTGTATTATGAAAGAAGTAATTGGATGGATTTTAGCAAAGGAAAGTGCAGGCTATTCACTTATTTTCATAGCATTGGACTAGATCACAATATCAGATCTTCCCATGGGGCATCAGTCCAGTTTTGCCACTGGCAGTGCCACCAGGCCTCCCTTCCTTGGCAGGGTGACGTTTTAGGTCGTGCCCAGGACCAGTAGCCTCCAAGCCATTCCCCGAGCTCCTACCCTTACCTCCAGGATGTTGTGAGCCTCAGCTTGAGAAGATTAATCAGGAACATCTGTTTTCCTTGTATAATAACACGATCAAAATGACAGTCAATGAAACTGACAGGTGGAAAATTTATAGCTGATCAAAGGAAACATTTTCATATGTGTATCTAGATAGGGGAGCTTGTTGCCATGGGATGTTATAGAGGCCAAGAATTTAGCAAGAACCTTAGAGGAACTGTATTTTCATATGGATAACAAAAGATATAATTGTCAACTAACTAACTAATTTTGAGGGAGTTACAAAACTTCATGGTCCAAGGATTAATACACTCATTATCAGGGATGAGCAGATCTTCATGATGGGCAGATTATCATATATTTGCCTATTGCAGGGTTTCTTGTGCCTTCACTGAAGCATGTGGTGCTGGCCCATGTTGGAGGCAGGATGCTAGACACTGGGTCTGATCCAGGGGGCGTGTCTACACGTGAATGCTATGGCAATGTAGCATCAGTGGGCACAAACCGTGACGCCAATGCTACATCACCGTAGCGACAAGCTACCTCGCTACAGTGCATCACTGCTAAAAACAACTGTGCACTGCTGGGACAGTGCAGTAATGGTTGTTACTGTGCTGTCAATTAGTACTTCCTAAAGCAAGTACTAAATGATGGAGCAGTAACAGCTGCGCTATAAGGGGCATGTGTAGATGCATCCAGTGGGGCTGTTCAGAGGATCCTAACAGTGGTTTAGTAGATACATGTCTAGAAAGCCCTGTGGGTCAAAATCTGATTTATCTTACAGGTCTAAGTGCACAAGGTTTATTGTCAGTTTTCTATGGAATCAAGATCTCAAGAACAAAAGCTCCATGATGATGTGAATCTTATTCATGAGAGTAGCTGTATCACAGTTACATCCCACTTAGGAAGCTAATGTTTTAGATTGAAGATGCCAGTATTTCAGTAGAAAATATTTTAACTCTAAAATATAAACCTCTTCAAGCAGGATGTAATCAGGTCACTGCTTTCCTTTCTTAGGAAGAATTCATTAAAGTTAAGGCCTTGCTGAATGCTGCCCTTATTGTACAACTTCTACTGTACTAACCTTTAAGATCATGGGTTCTTAACCTGGACGTTCAAACTAGGTCTAGGGAGAGGGGAATCACAACCGTCCTCCTTATTCTTTATGCTTAACCTTTTTCTGTAGTAATTGAGTCAGAGTCTCCAAAAGACTCCAGCCACTGCACTAGATCAACAAAAATACTGACTTCCAAAATTTCTTTTTCACTAATATTCAATTTTTTAATTTGATTTACATTCCGCCCTTCCCAAAAAAGGCTCAGGATGGCTTACAAAAAAAATAAAATTTTAAAATAAGAAAGTATAAAAAGACAAACTCCTCCCCAAATGCCCCCAAATTCAGAAGTAATTCCCCTCACCCTATCCACTGCCACTCTCCTGCCTCTGACCTAGAAGCTGAATGTACTCTCCAAGAAAAAAGCTAGCATGCACAATTAATGCTGAAAAGTTTATTATTTATATCTCTAGGCATAGGCTCATTTGGTGCCCTGAGACATTTTGTTAGCCACAACTGAAAGTCATCTTGTATGTTTATCTGAGTATGGGTGGAGCTGGGTGCAGCGCTTCATATCCCTGTTCATAACAAAATGGAGGCTATGTGGTAACACATGAACAACAGCTTCAGGAGGACTGAAGTACAATAGTAATATGTGCTCTATACAGGACAGTTTAGGATTAAAACAGTTTAGGAATAAAACACATCCAGTTACTCAACTTTAAATCACAATGACGTGTTAAAGATTGTTTCACATTATTGTTTTACCTTGCAGATTTGTAGCACTAAAGCTTCCCTGAGTGGCCATCCTACATAAAAAACTTGACAATGGTTCATCCCTTTGGCACTGATAAGGTCAATATGTGTTTGTAGTTTATTGTTCCAGAACATATTTGCAGCACAATTCTCTACATGAATTATAGGGGCAACTCTTACTAAAGTTGTCTTATAAACTTGTGTCACACCAATACTTAGCATGACCACAGCAAGCCAGAAGGTATGACTAACAATCAAGCCCACATCTGGTTTACTACTATCTACTCCTGAACTGTGCATATGGAAATAAGTGCAAACTCTTGTTGATAAGGGTATCAGAAACATTCATAATTCTACTTCTGGTGCACAGAAACCTTTTATTTCAGTATTTAAAGGTCCTTTTTCTTTTTAATGTGTAGAAAATGTGCACTCAAGTCATATATATTGAAGTAATGCATACATGGAGCAAGTAGTTCATGTGGGAAGAGAATGAATGCATGGGAGTTAAATTTAAGAGAATTTTTTTTATCAGTCCAAAGGGACAAAATTGAATATACCTGGAAGTCACCCTGATACATTTTAATAACAATGCTGCTTTCACTTTGTTGTTTTGCTGTGTGCTATTAGTTATTTAAGCAGAGTGGGTCTTCTTATACATGACAAAACTAGTTGAGGACAAATTTTCAAAAAATATTTGCACGTACCTTGGAATTAGATTTTCCTGTACTCAGGACAAAGATGCCTTTCCTGTGGGTTTCTTCAGCACCTGGCACAATCCTGACTGTCTCTCCTGGGTTCTGCTGACACATTAATATTAAATAAGTTTAGCCTCTGCCATTCTCCTGCATTCCCTCCTTACCCCCCAAATACACAAGAACCTTTTTACCTCCTAACCTTTCAGCTTAACTAAATATTGTCTTTGCTACTGTGGCTATAGGCCATTCTCTCTGAAACTGAAGACAAGTTAACAGGGGAGTGTCAGGGAGGAGTCTCAGATCATCCTGTACTTGGAGTTAAAGGGATACAGTGAGTTGTATAATTGGACTGCTTGTTTGTATCGCTGCAAGGGTCCTGTGGTCACTATTGTCCTTGATCAGTCCTGGAGTTTAAGGTCTTTTAGGTTTGTCTTCACTGAAGACAAGACCTGTGATTGCATGTGCAAGCATATCACTGCTAGCTTGAATCTATAATTGGCTTGGGTAACAACGGCAGTGGAGACAGAGCAGCACAGGCTATAAAAGTCCAGCAGGGCCCTGACTGATTATTTGTTCAGCTACTAGTCCAATGCCAAGCAAATAAGAGTAATACTCAGGAGGACTGAACTGTGGATCCTGTGCTTGGAGGTAAAGGATCATGTAAGACTACTGAGTGGTCTCATAACCTCGGTCAAGAAAGACTGATGGGAATCAGTGACCCCCTGAACAGTTCTCTACAGTTGCATATCAGAGAAGTGACCTGAAAATGGAGTCAGAAAAAACGTGGTGATCATAAGACAGGAAATGGCCAGCAAGGTGGCTTGACTAGTGATAGCACTGTAGGGAGTAGTGTTGGGAGAGGAATACAATAGAATAGTGAACAGAGATACAATGACCCCTCTTTGGGGTCCCAGATGTGGGCAGAGAAGCCTAGATAGAGGCAACAGTGTCCGTCTGCTTACCAACTTTAGGTGGCAAAGCAGCCCTATATAGAAGGCCAGAAGGACAAGTATGCTGCTGAGGTATTATTTGAGCCTGAGGAAAACCTGGATCTATTTTTGTTGTTCAGGGCTCTGCTTTGGAACCTCATGTTGATTCCTGAAAGGGAAGGGTTTCTATGTAGCTGGAGAGTTGTGTCACATGAAAGCACCTACATTAGTTAGTGAAAGGATAAAATAAAAGCACCAGGCACCTGAAGGGCAGACCTACAGGAGAGGATATGCATGTAGATCCCCTTTCATTTAGGTCTTTCTGTCTGGGACCAGTTTTAATCAGGCCTTAGTCTCAGAGTACCACAAATTTTGTGTAGCTAACCATCTGAGCCCTGTTATTATTACAAAATTATCTGTCTTACACAAAAGATACACCCTCAAGAGGTGAGCAAGTAGAGACACTGTGATATTTTCATAGTATTTTACACCAATTCTGCACAGGCATAAATGACAAGAAAAGGTGCAAGACCCCAGAGAATCAGGCTCTGATTGGTTCACTGTTTTTATCTGATGGAATATCAAATGGCAAAGGATTAGTAGAAGTCAGTGATTAATTTGTGATATTTAATGTTTTCCCCATTGTTTTTAGATGCTTTGCCATTTGATGACTTATAAAAGTTGCTGTTTTGCTACTTATTTTCCCTCCATGTTCCTATCCATTAGTGACTCCTCCCTCCACTGCTTAGTGTTGTCTGATGCTGAAATCATATTAGTGTATTGAACCAAACCTGTGTTGCCAGAGAGAAACAACTGAAAACAGTTTAAAAGGCATCCAATTCTGGCAATTTAGAAAAAAGCCATTTGATGACTTATAAAAGTTGCTGTTTTGCTACTTATTTTCCCTCCATGTTCCTATCCATTAGTGACTCCTCCCTCCACTGCTTAGTGTTGTCTGATGCTGAAATCATATTAGTGTATTGAACCAAACCTGTGTTGCCAGAGAGAAACAACTGAAAACAGTTTAAAAGGCATCCAATTCTGGCAATTTAGAAAAAAGCACTGTTCATAGATTCATAGATGTTAGGGTCGGAAGGGACCTCAATAGATCATCGAGTCCGACCCCCTGCATAAGCAGGAAAGAGT